ATACTAACATCACTTCTACATCTTGAGGATTCCATCCTATCCAAGTTCTTCCGCGGGGGGGACAAATTATAATTGGAGATCCAATTCCAACTCGGAAGCAATTGGGAGGAAATATTATCAAAAAGGTTCATATTGATCTTAGTCTCCAGAATACCAACACAGGAAAGCTTATTAGATCTAACAAAAGACCTTATTTCAGCCTGTTTAAGGGGAGACGAAAGGCCCTTGATATTCCATACACCAAAAAACATAGGAAATATCAAAAAGGGGAAAGAGGCCTACCTCATTTTCCGGCCAGCCCGTTTTTTTTTTCGAGAAAGGTTTGGCTCTAGAGGAGCTGCTATCAGAATTGGGTGTGACCAGGGTAGGAGCAGGCTCCGGCTGTCTTCTCTGGCTTCTCGAGCCAGGGGGATCCCCTTGGCAAAGAAACGCTATCGATCTTGTATTGGGCGGGGCTGGGGAGTGTTCCTCTTCAGAGTCGCTGTCCACTTTACTAGCCAACTCCCCCACAGAATCATCCGAATCGGACCCATCTACCGAGGAGTCAGGGGACGGCAATGCCGGGAAGGGAAGCGGCTTAGTCGGCACATCGCAGGAGTCAAGGAGAGGAGACTCTTCAACAGTCACAGGGGGGGCTAAGTATCAGTGATATTGGTCGGCACAACTCCTTGTTTTTTCCCAACCGTCTTCCAAATGCCAATATCCGAGGGCTTATTAACCTTTGATGCACCAATTGGCTTCGGGGCCAGCAGAGAATCTGAAGTAACCACCGTAGGAAGAGGACATTTGTGGCCAAACGTGCCACATTTCACACATGACATGGGTTTCCATTCATACTCCACTTCAATCGTGCATGTCTTTCCTTTAAGAATAACTTTAACCGAGTCTAGAAGCTGCTGGTTAGCTTTGATTTCAACACACACTCTGGCACAGGATATCATCCTCATTTTTTTCGTCTGCATGTCAACATGCATAGGCTTCCCAACTGCGCTAGCTATGGCGCTGATGCCTGCCGCAGACCAAAGGGCATAAGGAATCTTCCTAAATCTAACCCAGATCGGAAGGGATTTGTGATGGTTTTTCTCTAACTCAAGCTCCGGGTGCCATTGTTGTAGGATCATTGGGACCCGGAGGATAGTGATAGGCCCCCCATCCATAATTTTTCTACGAACAGCTGGGTCTGGTATGTGGAAGAAGAAAAAACCATCCACATTAGCAAGGATGTCCACAACCTGTGATCCCCATAGGTTCTTAATAGCACTTTCAGTAAGTTTGAAAGGTAATCTCTTTCCAATGTAATAACCCACTAGACACTCTTTGCACAAAGGGTTTGTGTTCTCCAGAATTTCCTCAGATATATTGACAACGGGATTCCCATCCACCATAGAGGGCGGGATGTAGGATAAGGCGTAGCCTTTCTCTGCCGATTTGGCAATGGCAGCCCAAGAGGGCCGTGAAGATTTTGGGATGGCTTCCCGATGGGGGGACTTAGCTTGTTCCTTTCCCCTATTGCTGTTTTGCCCAGCGATGGGCATCTTGTCTCCTTACGGGATTGAGGGAGTTCCATCATCAGACGGGGTGATACGTGTTGAGGAAAACTCCCATTGATTTTGAAGTTGACAAAACCTTCTGTATTATTGTAAATCTGATACTTATTCTGAACTAATTTATTCCAGGTATGTATATTCTGGAAGCTCAAAAGGAAGTTATTCAGACTTTACAAGCTGGCAAATATCTTATTGAAGACCCACATAATCCTAGTTCTGAGATTCAGATGAAGAAATTATTCAGATGCAGACGAAGAAATTATTCAGAAGCAGACGCAGAAGTTCTTCAGGTGCAGACGCAGAATTTCTTCAGACGCAAAATTCAGAATGAAACATAACAGCTAGTGATCTGGTATGGATTTCACAGAAGAAAAGTTTTGATTGTTTCAATCTAAGGCTATAATTGATTGACAATCAAACACTACGACAAGTATGCATTACAACGGATAAAGCTCTACTTATGGAAATCAAGATTCTGATTGTATGGGCGATCAGAATCAGTGGGATTCAGAATCTGTCATCCAACGGCTACTCAATCCTTTCTATACAAATCTGTCCAAGGTGAAGATTGGAAGATGATCCTTTGAAAGCTGTCCAACGGCTAGTTTGGAAGTAGTGGAGTATTTAAGGAGATCAACGAGCAGCAGAAGGTAGTACAAAATCAAGAATCATCAAGTCCAAAGTCTGAGCATACTCCGATCATTTGTCTTGTCTTTCTGAGCCACACATTAAGATCTTGAGGGACACTTTGTAAGAGTGATTGTGTGAGATAGAGAGTCCTATCATACACAAGAGTGATAACACTCAGAAGTTGTAATTCCTCTTGATTACATAGTGAAATCCAGCCGGTAGGCTGTCAGCGTGGGAGAGTGGACGTAGGCTTGCTATAAGCCGAACCACTATAAACTTGTGTGCAATTTTTCTATCCCTCATCTCTTACTTTACACACTGCACATCAAGAGCACCGTCTATATAATCTGTCTTGAATCTGAATTTTATTCAGACTCTTCTATGATTTGTTTTGTTTCCGCATAAATTATCAAAATTGTTTAAGATCACCTATTCACCCCGCTCTATGCGATCCTTGCTAGCTACATCAATACGGGCCATTCTAGATATAGATCTTCCCCTGTTTCTTCCCTGTCGGTGAGATCTTTGTCCCTATGGGTTAGTATTTTTGGATGAACTCGGGTCTTCCAACCGAACCTGAGGATTCAACTTTGCTATTACAGCTGAGGAATCTTCATTCAATATTATAGCAACCTGAGGTACAGAACTCGCAGGGTTTAATGAAAGAGAGGTGCTTTGGGTAGTTTTAGCTACATCAACACCAGAAGCTACAGTCGTGGGGTGCTTGGAGGACCCCTTCATTTGCACAACTTTAGCTGATTGGGTCCTGGGCAGAGAGGCCACATGGGAACTGGGATTAGCTGCCATGGGATCACTTAACGAACTGCCATAAAACTCAGAACAGAACAGCAATCGCTACTGTACCAAGAAACTCAGAAAAACCAGATCTACCCGATACCTAGGTAGAGTATAATGTCCACAAAACCCACCGATCAGAAGAGGGAGATAGGCGATTCTTGACACACAACTTCGAAGAAAGGCAACGGACTGAATGATCTAGAGCAGAACACTCTAGGCGGACAATCGCAAAAACAAAAGAGCGAAATGAAAGAAACCCAGATCTGTACCTCCACACAGAAGGAGAGATTAAAAGAAAATTCGTCCGGCCCAAAGGGAGGAGACACTAGGGCGACCTCAGGCACTAAATCCAAGCCGAAAACAACGGCCGGAAAGATCAGACGGCGAGCGGCCAGCCGAGAGATGCACAGTAGCGCAATCTCCCCCAAACGAGAGGAAGTGTACAGTACCGCGAGTGTACAGTACCCGGAGCGAAAGAAAAGTCGACTGTTACCTTTATAGAATTGTTTAACTCAAGTAAATTCATCATTCTGATATATAACTACATCTTAAGTAATTTTCTGCCTTACTTTGGGTTTGTTAATTTGCTGTAAGGATTGAGAGTTTGTATAAGGCCGACCACGCAGTGGGGCCACCAAACATTAATCATCTCTTCATTCCATTATCAATAAATACTGGTTTGCCTGTTTCACTCAACTTTTTCAGCGCTAGAAGAGATGACACGCGTATAGTTCCTTCGAGAGGAAGAGAGTCTATATAGGATGCCTCTGGTTGGCCTCTGATAATGCTTAAAACTGGTGTTTATACTTCGAGAGTCGAGATGCTTAAAAAATCATGAAATAGCCACTGTTATGGAATTAAATATATGCTTCCTGTAACATTTAAATGTTAAGACAAAAGAATAGTGCTATTGAGGCTCTTCTTATGTAATATTCTTTTTTTTTTTGGTAAGGTAAGAATATGTATAACTTTCCAAATCACCAAGTACAACCTAAGCCCAAACCAGCTCATGACCATATTAGGACATAGTAATGTCCATACAAGGTCAAGAGGGTCCAGCAGGAACTATATAACAAGCCGAAGAACGGCTAAGAACATGGCAAAAAGAAATAAGAAGACAAAGACAACCAATCCAGCCGCAGATTGGATGGGCAACGCCAAAAACTCCGGCAATCTGCTGAAAAGGGCCCCGGAACAAATGAGCAAAGACTACCCAAGCAAAGACAAAAGGCGCCGAGAAACCAAAACCACCACAATAAGTCGGGCCAAACCGAACCATGGAGGTGAAGCCCACAACTCCGGAATCCGCTCCAAAAGGCACCAGATCAGCCATAATCGTCATTAATCAAAGATAGAAGGAGGAAGGTCCCACTTTCTCTGGACAATGCGGTTCCTATAAGTATCCTCAACTGTCCCCATGGAAATAGCTTTGTCCTTCACGACTTTGAAGAGATGCTTACGCATACCAGGGATGAAAACGCTTTTGTTCCTGAAGATAGCGTTGTTCCTTTCGGTCCAAATAATGTGACATAGAGCACCAAAGGAAAATCTAGAAATGCGGTGGGCAAACGAAGATCCTCCGCAAACTTTCATAGCCCAGAGGATATGTTCTTGCCAGGGACGATTGCGCCAAGGTAGCCTGCAATTTATCGCCCAAAGAGAAGCCAATCTACTGGTAGAAGTGCATTCAAAGAAGATATGGTTGATTGAGTCTGGTGTAGATCCACAAAAGGCACAGAGAGCATCGGCAATCCTGCGATTTTGTAACAAGAATACCTGGGTAGGTAGCCGGTTAAGGGTTATTAACCAAAGAAGAAAAGCATGACGAGGAGCTATGTGCCGATCCCAAATGAAGGAATGCCAGGGGGGTGGATGCCATTTCCTTCGGATATGATTCCAAGCAAGAGTAACAGAAAAGGAATTAGAAGGATGAGGTGTCCAACCGAAGCTGTCCAACGAGCTATCCACAATAGACGGAAAGGGATCCATCCAACCCATAATAGTGGCAAGGGTGTTAGAAGGTTGCTAAGAACCTTCGTAGAAAGATCGCACTGTAGCATCCCGAGGAATGCGCGATTGATAGATCTCCGCATTACTAAAAAGCAAGTATAGCGGGCCCCTGCTGTGCCACCAGTCAAACCAGAAGGATACAGAGCGCCCATTTCCAATCTTCCATCGGAACATAGCTTGAGCAGATAACCGCATATCAAGGATTTTCTTCCATGTCCAAGAACAGAAGGTAGGTTTGGGCACAAGCCAAAAATTTGCCTTCTTTAAAAAGGTGGAGTGTATCCACTTACACCACAAGGATTCTTTGTCGGTAAAGAGAAGCCAAATGTGCTTTAAAGTCATAGCATTGTTGTATTCAACAAGTCTCCAGATGCCTAGGCCGCCTTCCTCTTTGGGTAAGCAAACAGCCTTCCACGCTACTTTAGCTCCACCAACTCCAAGGTCAGGACCTTTCCATAGGAATTACCGCAGAACAGCCTCAATACTATGCAATACTGATTTGGGTAAAGAAAAGATGGTGGCCCAGTATACTTGAATGGAATGCAAGACCGACTTTATAAGCTGTAGGCGACCAGCAAAGGAAAGAAAGCGTTGGGACCAAGAACGGGCACGAGCCGTGATAGAATCAATCAAGACTTTACAGTCCACCTTACGCAGTCTAGTTGAGATAATAGGCACACCAAGATAACGAAATGGCAATGTACCCTGCTGAAACCCGAGGCATTGAATTAACTGGTCATGCAACGCCTGAGTCCCTCCCGTGATGAAGATGTTGCTCTTCGCCTTATTCGGTTTTAATCCAGACCAATCAGAGAACAAGAGGAGAGATTCATTTATCAGTTGAACTGACCTCAAGTGACCTTCTGCGAACAGCAGTACATCATCCGCAAAGAAGAGGTGCGATAACCGGGTCTTTTTGCATCGCCAAAACCAGTGGAAATCCGGCATATCAGTTTTAGCCTTTAGAATGCCCGAGAAGATCTCCATAACCAGAATAAAAAGGTAAGGCGATAGAGGGTCTCCTTGGCGAATCCCCCTAGAGCTCCCAAAGTAGCCATGCAATTCGCCATTAATGGAAACCGAAAATTTTGCTGTCGTAACACAAGCCATCACCAGCTTGGTAAAGGAGACAGGAAATTTGAAGGCCATTAGAGCCTTCTCTAAGAAGCTCCAATCAACAGTGTCATATGCTTTTTGGAAATCCACTTTAATAGCACACTTGGAAAGGTAGGGCCGGTGGTGGAAATCCGCAAATAGCTCTTGGGCTATCAAGATATTGTCACTAATCCTTCGTCCTTTAACAAACGCCGTTTGAGCAGGGCCAATAAGTGTTGGAAGGATACGCACTATCCTCCTAGCCAAAATCTTGGAGATACACTTATATAAAGTATTGCAACAAGCAATAGGACGGAAATCCGACATAGCTGAAGCATTTGGGGATTTCGGAACTAGAGTGAGAATGGTGTTATTGATCTCTTTAAGCATGCATCCTGATTCAAAGAAATCTCTTACTGCTACAAGAGTAGAGGGTCCAATGATCTCCCAGCTAGATTTAAAAAAATCGATATTATAACCGTCCGGTCCAGGGGCTTTGCCCTTTGCAAGCGAGAAAAGTGTGGACCAGATTTCCTCATCTGTGACTGGAAGCGCCAACAAGTTCCATTGATTCTCATCAAGGACCCGACCAAGGAACATACCTATCTCGCTAACAGAGGGCCAAGTGGAAGCAGAAGCACCGTTAAGTAACTCCTGGAAGTGATTCACAATATGGGCCCTGACCGCCTGAGGTTCAGTAACTAAAGACCCATCATCAGTTGAAATCGAGAGAATACGATTTGTTACACTCCTTTTGTTAACACAGTGGTGAAAATAATGCGTGTTTAAATCTCCTTCCTTGAGCCATCAAATACGGGATTTCTGCCTGTAGAAGGATTCCTCCTGCATTCTCATCGTAGAAAAGGAACGTGTGAGCTCCGCTTCTCTATCTTGGAGCCTCTGGTCAAAAGGGTGTTGCTCAAGGGCCGCCTGAACGGCGTAGAGATCAGATCTAAGTTGATCGGTTCTCGTAGAGATGTCAGAGAAGAAACTCCTGTTTAGTTGTTTCAATTTCTGTTTAAGCACTCGCAGTTTACAACAAATAATATACATAGGTGTACCGACTACCTGTGTATCCCAAGCTTGCTTCACAAGATCCAAGAAATTGGGATGAGAAGTCCAGAAGTTGTAAAACTTAAATGGTTTCTTGGAATTAAGTGGCGAAAGAATTTTAACCACCATGGGAGAGTGGTCTGAAATCCCAGGAGAAAGAAAACTGGCTTCCGAGAAGGAGAATTGTTGCATCCATATGTCATTTGCAAGTACTCGATCAATCTTGCGGAGTTTCTGTCTATCACCAGAAGAATGGTCCAAGTGTATCTAAACCCCACATATCGAATATCTTCCAACCCCGCCTGGTTTAGACACTCCCCAAATTCATCGAAAGCCGGGATCCAGGGAGTAGTGCTACCCACTCTATCAGTTGGATCTCTGATTGCATTAAAATCCCCGGCAACAACCCACGGTAAGTCGCAAGAGGAGATAGAAACAAGGTAAGACCATAACGGATGCCGTTTGACAAAAGAATGCTCGCCATAAACAATTGTAAGGAGGCAAGGTTTATTCATATACAGGAGCCTAAGCTGAACATGGATCAGTTGGTCGAAAGAGTATAGAAAACTAGTTTCCAGCTCATCAGGGTTCCAACCAAACCAAATCCTACCACGGGGAGAATAATCGTAGTTAGCATTCCAGCACCAGTTACCACATAAACCTCGCGAGATCTCAGCAAAAAGAGAGTCTTTAACTTTAGTTTCGATGATACCGATACAAGAGAGGCGGTTGACCCTGATAAAGGTACGTATTTCCGCTTGTCTTAGGGGATTTACTAGGCCCCTTATGTTCCAAATACCAAAAAACATTTCAGGGATAAGAGATATTATCTCCGAGATCTCCTAGACCTCCTCTTCTTATCTTTCTTTTTTGAGGAGGACGGGCCGGGGCTCATACCGAGGCAGCTCATGCTAGGGATCGACCCCAAGGAGGCCTTGGATGGATCCTCCGCAATTAGGGAAGCCAAGGTTCGAGACCGTGTAGTTGGAGGGGAAATAATATTCAGTTCTCCCTCCAAAAGCTCTTCCGAGTCACTATTTTCTCCCCCAGCGTGTGAGCTAGCTGAATCTGCAGTGGAGGTATGAGAATTAATATCAAAGTCCTCAAGTTGCTGTTGAAAACGTCCTTGAGGACCAGAGGCAGCCAAGGGGAGTGTCACTGCGTTAGGGCCTTCCAGGAAGTTCAGAACAGGCCTAAGCGAGTCCTGGTCATGAGCGGGATGCAAACTATGCGCCAGAGGAACCACCCCCCCTGAGTTCATGTCCAGGGGAAGGCCAGGTGCAGTTTTGGACACACCAGGGCCTGCTGAGCACGGAACAGGGGAGAAATCCAGAATTTGCTGAACCAGAGAGCTTGCTGGACACCGGGAAGGAGAAGAGCTAGGACCTGTCTCAAGGTTCTTGGAGTTGATCAGGTCGATTCTGACTGGGTCAGGTCCAGCAACCGAGTCCACAGCAGGTGGCAGAGGGACAATCGACCTGGCAGAAGGATGCAGAGGAACCTCTACGTCCATGTTACAATTCAGGTTAGGAGTTGGGGTGTGTTGCCGCTGTGCTGAGGGCAGAAATGAAGACGCATTACCTTTTTTCCTCCTGACCAAAGTCCAGTCGTCTGCTGCTTGGGACCGAGAGGCAGGCTCTGGTCGGATTTCAGTCTGTTGAGGGGCACAATCAAAGCCCTTAGTTCCCGGTTTGTGGCCAAAAATTATGTAATATTCTAGCTTGGCCAAACTTCATATTTTTGTTTCACGTGTTATTGCACCGGTATTTTCGGCAAACTCGACCAGCTAGCCAAGGCATGCATGGGGCTGTGGACAGGCAGTACTTGGAAACCTTTTAAAGCCAATGCAAGGATGTAAAGTTTAACATAGACCACTTCCATATGACATTATGTAGTTTAAGCTGCAGAGGACGAATTCAAACAACTGCCACATGGTCGAAGTTGTTTTGGAATGACCGGTTCTTGGACTTTTAAAGATAAAGCTTCTAAAAAAGACTTGGTAATCTGTAGTGCAACTTGTTCAATAAACAAGAGAGTGATTCTTATAAAGAATGATCTTTTATTACTCCAACATTCATGATCAATTACATGCAGAGCAATTCTTTTATTGCGAAGTCATTATCAATCTCGGCAATCATGTATGTAGAATACGGGGTAATCCGATGTCTTGGAGGTCAATAATGTATCCACTCAATTGTTGTCGTACCAAAACTGCGCCTCGAGGTAGTCAACAACCTTCTTGTCCACTTGGAAGGCCTTGGTGAGAACATCAGCCGAAATGGGTGGCTTCGATCCGAATACCGCATTAGCAATGGTAATGACTCCTGGGTTTTGGCTGCTCAAAGCAGCAAAGGCCAGTGCAGGGGTCTTTCCAATGTTCAGCTGGAAGTGGATGAGACCGATTGGGAACACAAAAACATCCCCTTTGTACAACACTTTGGTGAAGAAGGTGTTGTTTAATTGATTGGATGTGACGAAGCCGACAAGCAGTGTGCCCTCAGTGACAACCAGAATCTCGGACCCACGAGGGTGAGTGTGGGGAGGGTTCAGGCCACCTGGAGCAAAGTCAATACGAGCCATGGAAATGCCAAGAGTGTTGAGTCCTGCAAATTGGTCGACGAAAGCGAGCGTGACTTTGGATCCGAGCGGGTTCGCAGTATTCCCAGGATATCCAAACCCCTTAAAGAGAAAATCATCTGCTGTAACTTGTTTTGGGTCCTTGCAAAACTTTCCGTTCACAAATACTGCATAAGAAACGGAATTCGTGTTATTAGGCTTATCTAAGCAGATGCTCCTTTTGCAGAAATACTTGTATCATCATTGAACAAAACAGAAAGATACGAATAATGCTTCAGTAGAGCTCCAACCTGTTGGGTCATTGATGGCCACACACAAGTCCTGAAGAGGACTCGGGTCGTAGGCAAAACTGGTGGCAGTTGCTAGGGCCAAGATGAGAAGGTTAATTGGAAGAAACTTCATTGTGGTGGACAGGGGAGTCACTGGTCAGGGCTTTGATATTTACCTCTTCTTTTGTTTCCTTGTGATGAGAGTATGTGTTTTGCATGGAGACATGACCCCTTTTTATAGATGATGGTGGTGTTGACCCGGTGTTTGATTTTCTGTGATAAGCAATACTTCCCAGATCTATAGCTATACAAATGCCAAGTCTCCTATGTGGTAGTTAATTTCTTAATCGCAGAAATGAATAGTTCCACAACTGCCGCAACAAAAGGCCCCTTTCTTTGACATATCCTCTTTCCCTGATGAGAAAAAACACGGTATCTGATGTGGAATTGGACTTCTTCAATAATATGTAAATCTTCGGTTTCCCTCTTCTTTACTGTTTTGATGTCCAACGCGGATTCAAGTTCAGCTGGATGGAGCGAGGGCCAATTCTTCTCTAAGTTCTTGGTATGATCATATCAATCTGTCAATTGAAAATGATGCAGGAACAAGTGTTTTCACATGCATCTCCATGCTTTACCCTGAAACACTTACCAAGCTGCCGATTTACTTCCTACAGATATTATGTTTATTTTCTTATACAAAACATGCAGGGTTTTCACACCATCTGGATGATGTGCACTTTTATGATAAGATTTGTAATCATAATCTGTATGAATTGCATCGGAGAGGTAAAATGCATGCTTTGGCTCGTGTTTTTAAATTTGCTGCTGTGAACATGTTGTAAACCTATGTTTCACAAACTCATATGATCCATCCATCTCTACATGCAAAATTTTACACCTTATTATGAAGGACGACTGGCTTCAACCAAAAGTATGACCTCACAAACTCTTCACTATTCAAAAAACTATCTATACGATTCCCCGAGAAGATTACCCAGAATATCATCAGGTTTATAATTTTTCGATAGTAGTCCTGAAGATCAATTTTCGGATAACATCCAACAAATAAGGCTAATCCTTAGAGATCATTTGATAAAGCAAATTGTTCTCTTTATTTCGTTTGATAGCCTAGAGTACAGACAGATTCTCCCTCCAATATAATCACAGAAATCAAAAAGCGGTAGTGAGAATGTAAAATTCAAACATGGCATCTAAAGTTCAAATCTGAGAATTTAAAAAGATGAAAACTAAAGCGGGAATCCTTCTCGTCCAAAATCGAATGACTAATTCTCAATGAGAACGGGTTTAGAAACAAGAGGTGGTTGAAGTTGTAGAATGGTTCACCAACCACATGGAAGAATAAACAATTGTTATAGACTTATTAAGCGCTGTTCCTGGCTTCAGCTGCTTCCTGCAGGCCAGTTGACGGGGACTAAGTCAAATGACTAACTACTATAAATAGACTTGCTGCAGATGCAGCATTTCACAACAATCCTCAACAGAACAGAGTTTCCGAGACAGACTAATCCAAGCTCAGAAATTTTTCCATAATGAAGTTCCTTCTAACATTTGTCCTCTTGGCTTTGGCATCATCCCATGCCTTTGCCTCTGACCCGAGTCCTCTTCAGGATTTCTGTGTAGCCATCAACAACCCCAACTCTGCGGTGCTTGTGAATGGAAAGTTCTGCAAGGACCCGAAGCTTGCCATAGCAGATGATTTCTTCTTCACAAAGTTTAGATATCCTGGGAACACATCAAATCAGCTTGGATCCAAAGTAACGACTGCTTTCGTCGACCAATTCCCAGGACTCAACACTCTTGGCATCGCCATGGCCCGCCTTGACTTTGCTCCAAACGGTCTAAACCCTCCCCACATTCATCCTCGCGGCACCGAGATGCTAGTGGTTGTGGAGGGTACGCTCTATGTCGGTTTTGTCACATCCAACCAATTGAACAACACTCTCCTCACCAAAGTCTTGACCAAAGGAGATGTTTTTGTGTTTCCGCAAGGCCTCATTCACTTCCAGCTGAATATTGGACAAACTAATGCACTGGCCTTTGCTTTCTTGAGCAGCCAGAACCCAGGACTCGTAACCATTGCAAATTCAGTTTTTGGATCGAAGCCGCTGATCAATGTGGATGTCCTCACAAAGGCTTTCCAAGTGGACAACAAACTGATCAACTATCTCCAGACACAGAACTGGTTTGACAACCATTAGACAGATGTTCGCAAGAACAGTTGTGTTTTTTTATTAAATTACAAAGAAGAATTCTTTTGAATAAGATAGTGACCTTTGGGTACTAGTACAATTGCTTGTTATCTGATGTTGATAAGGTTCCACTGTTTGTTCTCCCTCTCTCTCTCTCTCTCTCAAATCTTTCAGAGGCTGAGATGAAAAACTAATTCAAGATATCTTTCCATCCTGCTCGCTCCAGCTCTCTGACTAATTTCCCAAACAATTACTGGATCAGTCCATACAATTCTCAAGTATCAGTTTGTCAATAATTTTTCGTTTATAGAATTTTTTAATTCAAGTAAATTCATCATTCTGTTATAGAACTGCATCTTATGTAATTTTCTGCCTTACTTTGGGTTTGTTAATTTGCTGTAAGGATTGAGAGTTTGTATAAGACCGACCTTGGAATGGGGCCACCAAGCATTGATCATCTCTATATTCCATTATCAATAAATAGTGGTTTGCCTGTTTCACTCAACTTTTTCAGCACAAGAAGAGATGACACGCGCATAGAGTTCCTTCGAGAGGAAGAGAGAGTCTATATAGGATGCCTCTGCTTGGCCTCTGATAATGCTCAAAACTGGTGTTTGTACTTCGAGAGTCGAGATGCTTAAAAAATCATGAAATAGCCACTGGTATGGAATTATATATATGCCTGCTCCCTGTAACATTTAAATGTTAAGACAAAAGAATAGTGTTATCGAGGTTCTTCTTATGTAATATTCGAGCTTGGCCAAACTTCATATTTTTCTTTTACGTATTATTGCACCAGTATTTTCAGCAACCTCGACCAGCTAGCGAAGGCATGCACGTGGTTGTGGACAGGCAGTACTTGGAAACCTTTTAAAGCCAATGCAAGGATGTAAAGTTTAGCATAGACCACTTCCATACGAGATTATGTGAATAGTTTCAGCTGCAGAGGAGGAATTCAAACTAACTGCCACATGGTCGTAGTTGTTTTGGAATGACCGGTTCTTGGACTTTTAAAGATAAAGCTTCTGAATAAGACTTGGTAATCTGCAGTGCAACTTGTTCAGTAAACTAGAGAGAGATTCTTATGAGGAATGATCTTTTATTACTCAAACATTCATGATCAATTACATGTAGAGCAATTCTTTTATTGCGAAGCAATTATCAATCTCAGCAATCATGTATGTAGAATACAGGGGTAATCTGACATCTTGGAGGTCAATTTATCAATTTAGTTGTTGTCGTACCAAAACTGCGCCTGAAGGTAGTCAACAACCTTCTTGTCCACTTGGAAAGCCTTGGTGAGAACGTCAGCCGAAATGGGTGGCTTCGATCCGAATACTGCATTAGCAATGGTAATGACTCCTGGGTTCTGGCTGCTCAGAGCAGCAAAGGCCAGAGCAGGGGTCTTTCCAATGTTCAGCTGGAAGTGGACGAGACCTATTGGGAACACAAAC